AGACATGAAAAAATTCAACTCAAAAGAAAGAGGGGGAAAGGAAGAAGTTGAACTCAAAAGAGAAAGTGAAAAGCAAAGGGAAAGCAAGAACTCAAATCAGAATTTCAAAGAGCAAGAGAAAGGGAATGAGATTAATTTCCAAGGGAAAGAGAAGACAGCAACTATAAACTGGATACAGAAAAGCTTCCATTTCTTTTATGGGGAGTAATAGATAGGTTTGAAAAGGTGTGAGGTTTAACTTCTGGTTTTGATTTAGAAAGGAATCTTTAATTTCTCGAGGAAGTAGTTGAAATACATTGTCATAGCTGCCACAAGAAACCTGGACAAGCCTATTATAAAATGTTTTGGTAGAAAAAGCAATGGGGAATTTTGTGACTTTTTTCTGAGGAATAGTCTGCAGATTATGGCGCTTTGAAGACTGCTGTGCTTGATGCATATCAGTTGCAGAAGCTTATGAACTGAGGAAGAGACAAAAATATAATTCTGCGGTGTTTTCTACAGAGAAATAAATGGTGTTTGATTGATGGTTTGACGGACATTGTTGGAGAAGGATTTAGGAAAACTTAGACAGGAGTTGTTCATGGAAGAACTTAGAAGGAATCATAGAGTCATACAGCATGGAAGCAGCTTATTCGGTCCAACTTGACTGAGCCGACCAGACATCCCAATCTGACCTAGTTCCTTGAGGTTGGTTGGCTCGCCTAGCTGGTTTGTTGTTCTGCAAACATTTCGTTACTGTGCTTAACGTCTGCGGAACAACAAACCAGCTCAGAGAGCCAACCAACCTCAACACCCACAACCCGAGCTACAGATCTACTCCAAAACCTTACTAACCTACTTCCATTTGCCAGCATTTGGCCCATATCCCTCTAAACCCTTCCTATTCATATACCCATCCAAGTACCTTTTAAATGTTGTAATTGTACCAGCCTCCACCACTTCCTCTGGCAGTTCGTTTCATACATGCAATATCCTCGATATGAAAAAGTAATCCCTCAGGTCACTTTTAAATCTTTCCCCTCTCACCTTAAACTTATGCCCTCTGGTTTTGGACTCCCCTACCCTGGAGAAAACACCTTAATCATGCCCCTCATGATTTTATAAACCTGTATAAGGCACCCTCAGCCTCCAACACTCCAGGGAAAAAAGCCCCAGCCCATTCAGCCTCTCCCCATAACTAAAACCGTCTAGTCCTGGAAACATCCTTGTAAATCTTTTCTGCATCCTCTCAAGTTTAAAAACATCCTTCTTATAGAAGGGCGACCAGAATTGTATGCAGTATTCTAAAAGGGGCATCACCAATGTAATGTACAGCTGCAACATGATGTCTGAAATCCTCTGCTCAGTGTTCTGACCAATGAAGGCAAGTATGCCAAACACCTTCTTCACCACCCTGTCTACCTGCAACTCCACTTTCAAAGCCATTATCGATTGTTGGAAAAACCGATCTGGTTCACTAATGTCTTTAGGGAAGGAAACTGCCATCCTTACCTGTTCTGGCTGACATGTGACTTCAGATCCACAGCAATGTGGTTGACTCTTAACTGCCCTCTGGGCAATTAGGGATGAGCAATAAATGCTGGGCTAGCCAGAGATGCCCCCATCTCGTGAGTAAATACAAAAAAGAGAAACGGATTTGGCTTAAGGCCTGATGTTAGCAGAAGATATGAACCTTCCTGAGAGTTTACTGGATAGGAATGTATTGACGTAGGTTATCGATGGAAATTGCATGCCAATCCCATTGTGTACAGTGAATTTAAACAACGTTTTATTCAACTGATCTGTTATTAAAGAAGTGGTGTCAAAATTACCTGTTAATTATATACTACCTCCTGACACTAACAAATAGGAAATGGAAATCAGGATGTCAGCTCCTACTCCAACCAGTGGCACATATACTTTCTTCAAGCACTTACTTCATCCTGAAACCTGAGATGCTACTGTCTCCATTTCCCTTACCTCCTTTTGCCCCTGTCCCTGGTCCCCTTATCACTCAGCCCATTCTCCTCCCATTGCCCTGCCATTCTTCTCTCTGTTCGCCTTCCCTTCCCTTCTCTTCCCACGCCCCCACAACTACCCTCTTCCACTCACTCTCCCCATTCCCCTCCCAGTTCTTCTAGATTCATAATGCTACTCTTTCCATTCCCTCTGCCATTCTCCTCACCTCTCCTGTCACTCTCCCTATTCCCCTTGTTTCATCTGCTGTACTCTGTTCTGGAAGCAAACCAGCAGCAAGGGACCATGCAGAATGCAGAAGAGATTAGTGAAAATGTGACGGAAGCAGTAAGAGAACAAAAGGCAATGGAGAGTGTAGTGGGGAATGCAGCAAAGGGAGTGGTTGAAGAGAGGAAGGCAGGAAATAGTGAGAATCTGTCAGTGAACAAGTTTTAAAAGCAAATTAAACCTTTCGGTTTCCAATGGTATACCAATTATCTGTTCTTAAGGCAGCACTGATCTGGGGTTGTGCAGTACTGTGAAACATCCTGTGATTATCTAAGTTAACTTGGAGTTTCAAGTATCAGATGCTTGGGGCATCATTGTTCATTTGGCTGATGCTATAAGGACTCTAATTCCATGGAGAGTGAAATATGTTGTAAGTAAAGGGGAATGTTCCTTTCCATGGTTGAGAGGGCAACTTGCCGACAAAAGGTGAAAAAAAGTGTTTTTTTAGCCATTTGTTACTGCAAATGTTTCAAAATGTGAATATTCATCATGACATTCTTTACAGCCATTATCTGGAAATTTGGATTTCTTTTTATAAAGAGATTTTAACAGAATAGCCTCTTTTGTCTTTACTTAAGCCTATACACATATTGTAGTTCAGGTTATGTAAGGAATATGAAAAGCTGTTAGTTCTCAGAAGCACTCACCATTATTTCTCCCATAAGCAAGATCAATTAATGGTAGAAAACCTAAACCATCAACTGATGTGTTAGATTATAGTCCCAGTCACTCACCACCCAACGCCCTTCCCTCAGCATCTTCCCACAATTATACTCAGTTGACAGAGCTCTCACCTCTTAGGGTCCTAACGGCAGTAGTGTCGTTTACCCTGATCCAGGAAGCCTGGGTTCAAGTCCCACATGCTCTAGAGGAATGTTATAATATCTCTGAACAGGTTAATTATAAAGTACCAGCACTCTTACCTCTGACTCAAGAAAACTGTAATTGAAGTCCCATTCCAGCGTCTTGAACACAAAATCTACAATGACTTTCTAGGGCAGTGTAGCATGGGTAATATGTTAAACCAATGTCCATGTTCCCAAGGTGTTATTTCAAAGAAATAACAGGGAAATTCTCCCCCAGTGCCTTGGCTATTATTTTCCCATCAAGCCTGATCACTAAGATAATTGTCACACATTTCTTGGCTGGAGCTTGTAGCGTGCAATTTAGCTGCTGCATTTTATACGCTGCAACAATGATGACCCGTTAAGACAAAAACATACTTAAGTTGGCCGCAAAGCTTTTGGGGATGTCCTGAAGTTGTGTATTTCCCTCAGCTGTACCATAAACCAAACACACTGTCAAATAAACTTTTTCACGATGTTTTCTCCCTTTTTCCCTCCCCACACCCAATACTCTCCCTGCCCTCTATCCCGGTTCTAGCTGGCCATGCTGTGTAAATCTTGTGTTAGAAGGGAGTTAACTTGCTGTTTGTTTCGCTATCATATACATTCAGATGTAAAGAGGAGATTCCAGACTCCCTAAAGAATAACCGAGAGCAATCACTTTATATAATCAAATAGAGAAGAATAAAGCGAATGACAAACTATGCAATGTTTGCTTGGCAAAGTGTGACAATGCTCACTGTATATACAGCTTACTATTAATTAGCCAGGATACCAAAAGCTTCTGCACAATCTGAAGCAATTTAAATGGAAGGTATTCCCAGAGGTTAATAAACCAGACTAATGCCAATTTTTAATCCTGCAATAAAACCCGTCTGTTGCTCTATTACTGTTCCAAAGTATTTCCAAAAGATCTTTACTAGTGTTAAATTGAATTCTGTTACTCAAAGTATTTTGAAGGTTTATTGTCATGTCATTGTCTAAGCTTGTAATTTTTTCAAAAATTGAGGGATAAATAAATGGACATCACTATACAAGGTGTCCGGGTAAGAGATTGTAACTTAATAGAATTTGGTGGACGAATGCTTCTGCTAACAATAGCGTTGAATTCTCGAGACATGAAAATTATAGGAATTAATGTTAGCAAGATAATGTACGGCCTGAATTCATTCTTTATAAATAATATCTTTCAAAAACTATACGCAAATAGCAAATGCATAAAAGCTAAATTTGTTAAGTTTAAATAATATTTTGCCTGTAAATCTGTGATTAGTTACTTGTTGTTTATCTCATGCAAGTAACTGTGCTGCACACACAATGGAGAGCTGTGTAAATTCTGGAATCATACGCTGAAGCAAAATTTGTTGAAACAATGGTAGTGCAGGGTTGTACTGCAATACCATATATTGCAAACAAGAAATTGTGTGGAGTATTATGCATTAAAGGAGCTTTGTCACTGCATTGGGAAGTTTTCGGCAGCTTAAGTGCTAGGAACCTGCCTGGACTCAAGGTCCCACTCACTGTAGGGCTAAGTTGGTATTGCAACAGAGCAAGTATCTGCTGTAACACCATGTTAATATGTGGTCATTTTATGTGCTAAAAATATATAGTTGCAGGTGTGATCGGTGGCACAGTGACCATAAACGCACGGTAACACAGATCAGACTACTTGCACATTCTCCATATTTCCAAATCTAGGAAGGTGTTTGTGAAACACTTCACCAGAGTGCCTTCCTTATGAGCAAGCCAGCTGGAAAAGGAAAAGAAAAGAGACTTTCCCAAAATCACACAGAGTTGTTTCAATAATAAACTGGTAAATACTGCCTAGATACTTCCCTGTTTACGAGTTACATGTTGCAAGGCAGGGATTTACTTTTCATTTAAAAAAAAAACTTCTCTATTTCGCATCTTGTAAGTGAATAGCAACAGTTTTCATAGCCTGTGCTGAGAATCGTGGCTGTGGCCTCCTGGTGATCCATGACTCCTTCTTGATTTGTATGTGTCCTGATAGGGATCAGAATATTCCTCCTCCATGAGTGGGTATTGGCCTCGGCTGTGCTGGGAACCTGAAGACAAGCGGTTACGGTTCTTCCGTGCCCTGTCATTGTGACCATTTTCATCAGAGTGCACCAGGCGTGTTCTTTCAGGTAAGTGTTCACCAGAGTGATTGCTGTTGCTCATCCGCTGGCCCTAGTTAATGCAAAAGGTAGAGTTAGATTAATGGAACGGACGTAACTTAGCATGGAAAAGTGGAACAGACTTCCTTATACACCAAATTTAGGACCATGAGTGGGAAGTTATTACAATCTGATACAGTTTGTGAGATTATTTTTGAATGGTCATTTTTATCTTACACAAAATAAGTACTTTAAGAGTTTCTGGAGCCCAGAAAACTATTATACTGATGAAGCTAGTTTGACTGATCCAGAGTAGTTGAAGCAGTCGATGTGGCCTGTGATTGAAGGGGTGGGGAGTGGGGAAATGTAAACATCAGTCAAACTTCAATGACGATATTTCAGTGAGCAAATGGTCAATCTATGGAATCGATATCCAAAGATTCAAAGGTAGAAGCAAGTACAAGTTCATTCCAATACAAATTAGAAAGTAGCATGGGATGATATGGTACATAAGTTTTCCAGGATGTGAACGTGTATTAAATGTAAATGCTTGGGCAAGAAAAAGGGATTTTGGAACCATGTTTCTCAAAGGTATCCACCTCTGCTATTTTCTCCACCTCATGCTAATTATAGGTTTGTTACAGACTAGCAGCTATCCATTGCCATGAGAAGAGAACAATTCCATTATCTTTGTGTAAGACGACTATCAAGGTGATGAACGATGAACTAGATGGACTTTTCCCATTCAGTAATTCCATTTTCATTTAGCAATATTGGCCCAATTGATTCCTTCAGAGTATCTATGAAAAGTTTAATGTGATCCACTATAAATTGTGCTCAGGTTAAGCTCCCAATGTTTGCAGAACAACAAACCCTTGCTATTCACTAACTGTCTACTTTGTATTTTAATTGCTACCAAGGCATTTGCATGTCCATTTCAGCCTTTGATGTATCCAGGATTTAATAGCTGGGCTTGTGAGTTTGAACAAAGAACAAAGAAGAACAAAGAAAATTACAGCACAAGAACAGGCCCTTCGGCCCTCCAAGCCTGCGCCGATCCAGATCCTCTTTCCAAACCTGTCGCCTATTTTCCAAGGATCTGTATCCCTCTGCTCCCTGCCCATTCGCGTATCTGTTTAGATACATCTTAAATGACCCTATCGTGCCCTCCTCTACCACCTCTGCTGGCAACGCGTTCCAGGCACCCACCACCCTCTGCGTAAAGAACTTTCCACGCGTATCTCCCTTAAACTTTTCCCCTCTCACCTTGAAATCGTGACCCCTAGTAGTTGAGTCCCCCACTCTGGGAAAAAGCTTCTTGCTATCCACCCTGTCTATACCTCTCATGATTTTGTAGACCTCAATCAGGTCCCCCCTCAACCTCCGTCTTTCTAATGTAAATAATCCTAATCTACTCAACCTCTCTTCATAGCTAGCACCCTCCATACCAGGCAACATCCTGGTGAACCTCCTCTGCACCCTCTCCAAAGCATCCACATCCTTTTGGTAATGTGGTGACCAGAACTGTACGCAGTATTCCAAATGTGGTCGAACCAAAGTCCTATACAACTGTAACATAACCTGCCAACTCTTGTACTCAATACCCCGTCTGATGAATGAAAGCATGCCGTATACATTCTTGACCATTCTATCGACCTGCGTTGCCACCTTCAGGGTACAATGGACCTGAACGCTCAGATCTCTCTGTGTATCAATTTTCCCCAGGGCTTTTCCATTTACCTTATAGTTCGCTCTTGAATTGGATCTTCCAAAATGCATCACCTCGCATTTGCTTGGATTGAACTCCATCTGCCATTTCTCCGCCCAACTCTCCAATCTATCTATATTCTGCTGCATTCTCCGACAGTCCCCTTCACTATCTGCTACTCTACCAATCTTAGTGTCATCTGCAAACTTGCTAATCAGACCATCTATACCTTCCTCCAGATTATTTATGTATATCACAAACAACAGTGGTCCCAAGACAGATCCCTGTGGAACACCACTGGTCACAGTTCTCCATTTTGAGAAACTCCCTTCCACTACAACCCTCTGTCTCCTGTTGCCCAGCCAGTTCTCTATCCATCTAGCTAGTACACCCTGGACACCATGCGACTTCACTTTCTCCATCAGCCTACCATGGGGAACCTTATCAAACGCCTTACTGAAGTCCATGTATATGGCATCCACAGCCCTTCCCTCATCTATCAACTTTATCACTTCCTCAAAGAATTCTATCAAGTTGGTAAGACATGACCTTCCCTGCACAAAACCATGCTGCCTATCACTAATAAGCCCATTTTCTTCCAAATGTAAATAGATCCTATCCCTCAGTATCTTCTCCAGCAGCTTCCCCACCACTGACGTCAGGCTCACCAGTCTATAATTACCTGGATTATCCTTACTAGCCTTTTTAAACAAGGGGACAACATTAGCAATTATCCAGTCCTCCAGGACCTCACCCGTGCTCAAGGATGCTGCAAAGATATCTGTTAAGGCCCCAGCTATTTCCTTTCTCACTTCCCTCAGTAACCTGGGATAGATCCCATCCGGACCTGGGGACTTGTCCACCCTAATGCCTTTTAGAATACCTAACACTTCCCCCCTCCTTATGCCAACTTGACCTAGGGTAATCAAACATCTATCCCTAACCTCAACATCCATAGTGTCCCCCTCCTCAGTGAATACCGACGCAAAGTACTCATTAAGAATCTCACTCATTTTCTCCGAATCCTCGCATAACTTCCCTCCGTTGTCCTTGAGTGGGCCAACCCTTCCTCTAGTTACCCTCTTGCTCCTTATGTATGAATAAAAGGCTTTGGGATTTTTCTTAACCCTGTTTGCTAAAGATATTTCATGACCCCTTTTAGCCCTCTTAATTCCTCATTTCAGATTGGTCCTACTTTCCCGATATTCTTCCAAAGCTTCGTCTGTTTTCAGTCGCCTAGACCTTATGTATGCTTCCTTTTTCCTCTTTGCTAGTCTCACAGTTTCTCCTGTCATCCATGGTTCCCTAATCTTGCCCTTTCTATCCCTCATTTTCACAGGGACATGTCTGTCCTGCACTCTAATCAACCTTTCTTTAAAAGCCTCCCACATATCAAATGTGAATTTACCCTCAAACAGCTGCTCCCAATCCACATTCCCCAGCTCCTGCCGAATTTTGCTATAGTTGGCCTTCCCCCAATTCAGCACTCTTCCTTTAGGACCACTCTTGTCTTTGTCCATCAGTATTCTAAAACTTATGGAATTGTGATCACTATTCCCAAAGTAATCCCCTACTGAAACTTCAACCACCTGGCTGGGTTCATTCCCCAACACCAGGTCCAGTATGGCCCCTTCCCGAGTTGGACTATTTACATACTGCTCTAGAAAATCCTCCTGCATGCTCCTTACAAATTCTGCTCCATCTGAACCCCTAACACTAAGTGAATCCCAGTCAATGTTGGGAAAATTAAAATCCCAAAATCAAACTCAACAAGACACATAATGGTGTTATGAGCCGGTCCATCTGCTACTCCTTCTTTGGCCAGCATTCTCATCACTTCCTCACACTGAGAGCTATCTCCTGTCCCAAATTACAACATCCCACACCCCTCCACCACCCCCACTCCCCTGCCCCACCCAAAGCACAGACTACCCATCCCTGGGTTTGTCTGCTTCGAGTAGTCATGGTAATGAGAGTTGTAAAAAAAATGCCTGACCCATTACTATTGGGATTGTTTTCTTCTGCTTGGTACAGATAAGTAACAATGATAGAACATAAGAACATAAGAACTAGGAGCAGGAGTAGGCCGTCCGGTTCTTCGAGCCTGCTCCGCCATTCAATAAGATCATGGCTGATCTTTTCATGGACTCAGATCCACTTACCCGCGTTCTCACCGTATCCCTTAATTCCTTTATTGTTCAAAAAAAATCTACCTTATCTTTAAAAACGTTTACTGAAGTAGCGTCAACTACTTCACTGGGCAAGGAATTCCACAGATTAACAACTCTCTGGGTGATAATGCTTACAGTTCCTGTACAGGGAACCAGTAGCAGCTTCTTGGGAAATGGCAGTTATTGCCCAAACATGCCTGGTCAGAAAAGATGCTCAACTATTCTTTTCTTTTAACTTGGACATCATCCAAGCCTGAGGGGGAATCTTGTGGAGACAGCACTTGTCCCAGCCAAGCTCTGCATTGCCTCTTTTCTGAAAGGTCTGCCACATCTTGTCCCACTCAAGCACTTCATAGGCTTGCAGTGGACCTGCCCCAGTGTCAAGGACTCTGCACTGCAATCAGAGGCAGTACTATTGGAGAGGTGTCGGGGAGAGAGTCCGGTGTAAGAGCAGAGGTAGGTCTCAGACCGAACCCCACTATTTCCATTGCTGACTCCCAAGATCACTCATAATTGACGTTGAACTAGGGTCTCGCCCCTCCATTCCCCTCTAACCACCCTCTCACCCTGGAAGTCTGCAAGAACTCTCACGAGTTTACTTCTTGCATGGAGTCCCTGCAGTGGCAGCAGAATAAGACTGTAAGATCAACTGCCCATTTGATATTGGGTGGGAAAGCTGTCAATGGGACTGGCTGGGAATGCAGCATGGTCTCCATCTATCACCTCACTGTCTCATTCCTGCTTTCCATGGACAGGGCAAACATTCCACCTCCCATGTCCCAAATGATCATCTCCACTTCAGTGTCTTTGACTGTCTAAATTGTCTTCCTCACCTTTTCCACCCATCTATAAACTGTGCTTTTGGTTAGTCAAGAAGTGCAATTTATGAGGCAAATATTGAATCCTTTGTATTTTAAATAATAGCACAGTTTTATGGGCATGTACAAAGCTTAGCTGATATTTTGCTAATAGAAGTTTCTGGGAAACTTTGAAGGTTGGCTGAGTGAAATGTAATTTCAGCTCATTATCTCATTTCATTTACTTGGAGTATTGTGTGCAGTTTCAGTCTCCCTTACTTAAAAAAAAAATATATTTACCATAGAGCCATCAGCAAGCTAATTCTTGAAGTCACAGGTTTGTTGAATAAGGAGAGACTGGGTTGACCATATACACTGGAGATTAGAAGAATGAGATGGGATCACAATGAACCATATACAATGCTGACAGGGCTGGAGAGACTGGATTGGCGGTGAAATGCCTCTGGGGCTCTGTGTGTGTGTGTAATATATATATTATATATGTGTGTGTGTAATATATATATTATATATGTGTGTGTGTGTGTTCTGGAACAGGATTCCACAGTCTCCGGATATGCAGCAGACCATTTAGAACAGAGATGAAGAGAAATTGTTTCAGTCAGAAAATGGTGAACCTCTGGAATCCTCAACCATTAAAAGACTGTGGAGGCCAAGTTGTTCAATGTATTTAATAAAGAAACAGATAGATTTATAGACACTAAAGGCATCAAGGGATATGGGGACAGAGTGGAATGTGGCCTTGCGATAGAGGATCAGTCATAATCATATTGAATGGCAGAGAAGGCTCATTGGGGTGAATGATCTACAATAACTCCTTTTCTTATGTTTCTACTTCAGATCAGATTTGATTATCCATTTTTGCTCATGGTTTTCTAGTTTGCAATCAGGTGTATTGTTTCCCTTTGTGTTACATTTGCATTACAATACAACAAACAACTTTTCTCATTTGTTATTGTGCCACACTAATTGTCCTTTCTCTCTATTGTTTATGACCTTCTCAAAAACAGGAATCTGCTAATGACAATACCTCAGAGTAGAACAGTTTTTCTGAAGATGCACTGTCAAACACTGCATCAGTAACAGGCACCACCATATAAATTTGAACCAAACCTGTGTTAGGGTGAGTTAAAGGGATTGGTGCTGGTGCACTTTCACTGTACAGACGGCAACAATTCAAAAAGAAGCTGCTAGAACAGGGTCTCTCAGCTGGAAGGTGTATCTGGGTTTTCAGAAAACACTTCTACATGAACCCCAGCAATGACCAATGTTTGATGTACCTGTGTTTCACAAAGTAGAATCTCCTAGCGGCTACAACCTCAGAGCTCATCACCAGTGCCTGTGAAAGTTGAGCATGGCCTCAAACTTACATGCATCAGGTTCCTTCCAGACTGTGGTTGTTAAACAAATATCAGCAACATGTCATATGGTGGCGTGCATAAGGAAGATCACTATACAATGGAAACTAACTTCATTTTATTCACTTTAGCCAGATAGAGGCCAGTGAACAAAGCTTAAGAGTTTGGAAGGATTGCAGTCTTCTGTGTGGTATAAAGTGTCAGTGACTACCTGCACATTGATTCCAAGTGCATGACAAAATAACTTGAGGCACTTGAAAAACAAAGAAATTCCTCTCAGCTGGTATATGTCTACGGACAATGCATCATGCAGGTCATCTATAACCAATTCCTGGTGACAGTCACAATATACTGATCTGCAGAAACCCTCTGGTATCAGTGGCATTGCAGCCATCACAGGAACAAAAGGGTGTAGAACTAGGTGACAAGGGCTGTGTGTCGATGACATGGCTCATGACTCCAGTTTGTAACACTTACACACAAGTGCAACACGCAAACGAGAGCCATGCACCCACAAGTAAGCTGATAGAGCAAACCCCTGACATCTCAAAGCATCCATGGTTCTGGTGGAGTCCTGCAATAATCAGCTGAGACAGTTTCAGGATTTGTGGTGGTAGGCAGCATACTGAAAATGTCAGCATCACGAGGAAACTGCCCTTTCTGCCAGCTGTCAGGCAAAACCATGAATAGGATCATGGCTGATTTGACAACACCATATTCCTGCCTACCCCCAAAAAGCAAAAATGGAAAGGCTATCAAGAATTTAGCTGTCTTCAACTTAAACATATTCAAAGGCTCTTCTTCCACTGCCTTTTGAGGAAGGGAATTCAAAGACCCTCAATCCTCTGAGAAAGAAAACCTTGCCTCATCTCTTTCTGAAATAGATGACCACTTATTTTAAAGTAGTGAACCCTATTTTAGACTTTCCCTCAAGGAGAAGCATCCTTTCTACATCCAACCTGTTGAGACTTCCCAGGGTTTTACTTATAATCCGATCAAGTAGCCTTTTACTCTTCTATCTTCAGCAGTTGCAAGCTTATTCTGTTCAATGGTTTCTCAAAAGAAAACTAGCCCAGAACCTTCTCTGAACTGCTTCCAATGTTTTTGCATCATTCATTAAATAAGGAGACAAGGACTGTTCAAAGGATGTGATCTCACTAACGTCCATAAAACTGAATCATAATCTCCCTTTTCTTAAAACACATTTCCTCTCACAATACATAACGTTCTGCAAGCAGTCCTAAATACTTGTGCACCCACATATTTAGGTTTTGGTTTTCATGCACTAGGCACCCCATCCCCCGACCTGGAGAGTTAAGGTCACAAGGGGTTTCGGGCTGTGACAGTTTCAGAAGCAAGAGTCGAGGGATGGTTGTAGATGAGAGCCCCTACTTCCAATTTAAAAGTCCCTCGCTCATACATTTGAGTGCCTAAGAATGAGGGATCCCTCCCCTCATGCCAGTGGCGGTGGGATGAGGCTCTTAAGTGGGGATTAATTGCCACCCAGGAGCTATCCCACACCAGACTTAATCAGAGGTTGAAGTTAATTACCGCCCCATCAGTCTCCTCTCGATCATCAGTAAAGTGATGGAAGGTGTCATTAACAGTGCTATCAGGCAGCACCTGCTCAGCAATAACCTGCTCAGTGACGCCCAGTTTAGGTTCTGCCAGGGCCACGCAGCTCCTGACCTCATTCCAGCCTTGTTCAAACATGGACAAAAGAGCTGAATTCCAGAGGTGAGGTGTGACAGCCCTTGCTGTCAAGGCTGCGTTCGACCGAGTGTGCCATCAAGGAGCCCTAACAAAACTGGAATCAATGGGTATCAGGGGCAAAAGCTCCAGTGGTTGGAGTCATACCTGACACATAGGAAGATGGTTTTGGTTGTTGGAGGTCAATCACCTCAGCTCCAGGACATCTCTGCCGAAGTTCCTCAGGGTAGTGTCCTTGGCCCGACCATCTTCACCTGCTTCATCAATGACCTTCCCTCCATCATAAGGTAAATAGTAGGGATGTTCACTGATGATTGCATTATGCACAGCACCATTCGTGACTCCTCAGATACTGAAGCAATTCATATTCACATGCAACAAGATCTGGACAATATCCAGGCTTGGGCTGACAAGTGGCAAGTGACATTCGCGCCACACAAATGCCAGGCTATGACCATCACCAATAAGAGACAATCTAACCACCACCCCTTGACATTCAATGGTGTTACCATCACTGAATCCCCTACTATCAACATCCTGGGTGTTATCATTGACCAGAAACTCAACTGGACTCACCACATTAACACAGTGGCTACAAGAGCAGGCCAGAGGCTGGGAATACTGTGGCGAGTAACTCACCTCCTGACTCCTCAAAGCCTGTCCACCATCTACAAGGCACAAGTCAGGAGTGTGATGGATTACTCCCCACTTGCCTGGATGAGTGCAGCCCCAACAACACTCAAGAAGCTTGACACCATCCAGAACAAAGCAGCCGCTTGATTGGTAATACATCCATAAGCATCCACTCCCTCCACCACCGATGCTCAGTAGCAGCAGTGTGTACCATCTACAAGATGCACTGCAAAAATTCACCAATGATCCTCAGACAGCACATTCCAAACCCATGACCACTTCCATCTAGAAGGACAGGGGCATCAGATATATGGGAACACTGGTACCTCCAAGTTCCCCTCCAAGTCACTCACCAGCCTAACATGGAAATATATCGCCATTCCTTCACAGTCACTGAGTCAACATCCTGGAATTCCCTCCCTAATAGCATTGAGAGTCAACCCACAGCAGGTGGACTGCAGCAGTTCAAGAAGGCAGCTCACCACCACCTTCTCAAGGGCAACTAGGGATGGGCAAGAAATGCTGGCCAACCAGCGACACCCACATCCCACAAATGAATGGAAAAAAATTGTTGGCAGAGTCTAGGTGCAACACCCTTCCAAATCTGCCTCAGGAAGCCGTTAAACTGCGCCCACTATTTTCTCACTATATTCCTACTGCCAAAACTACATCAATCCACAGTTCACTGTATTAAATTCCACCTGTCCCTTGTCTGCCCAGTCTGCTAGCCTAGGTCTTGTTCCATCTAACTGGCACTCCATTTGCCACAAATACAACTTATGTACCTTTAGCAAATGTTGAAATTTTATTCTGTATTCCAACATTCACGTTTATTTATACAGGATATATCGTATACATCATTTTAATAAATCAAAAATAGCAGTGATACGAACACTGGCTTTTGAGAGTACACCACAGTCTACCATCCTACAGTCTGAAAAACACCAATTTATCATGACTCACTATTCTCTAGCCTTTTCTTCCTTAACATTTCCTTTTCTGGCCCAGCTTTTTATTACCTGACCTCTGTCTCCTTATGATGGGTGGTGTCAAGTTTAGTTTTACAATGTTTTGTTAAGCATCCTGGGGCATTTCTTATGTTAAAGGTGTTAGACAAATTGGTTGTTGTAAACCAATTAAGATTGACTGCTTTGTTCCTTCCATAGCGGTAGGGTTTAATGAATAAGTAGATGAGTCTTTGCAATGAGCTGTGATATAACTGTAGCCTCAGTAGTCATATGCCAGTACTACGCTAAAAGGTTAGAACCTGTACAGCACAAAGTGTGCTGCTCTGTAGCTTCACCATCCTGTACAGTCTGTCCACAAATGCTGTTTAAAAGTAACTCAGAAATCTGGCACGAGCTTTTACGAAGATCTGAAGAATCCATGTCAGTCTGCATACCAAGTAATCATCAAAGTCATCAATTTATGCCCAAGCAATTCCAGTACAACTGGCACAAGTCTATGTCATTAACAGCACATCACCTCTGATTGGGATACTATAGGTATTGACCAAATCCATGTTAATCAGTTGGCAGATGTTCTAGGTCAAGCCAAAAGATCAATGTATTTCTTCACACAAGCACTCAAGTAAATCATCCACAAGTGATTATTTACTTTGTTCTATGATATGCTGACATGAAACACAAGCACAATCGGCCTTCTGACCTCCTGTGTTTTATGATTCTCTGATGGCAAGATATGAAGGAGACAGGAAATAAATGTGGCACTTACAGATACCACCACTATGCAAGCATAATATAAAGCATTTAGATGACAGAAATTTCTTATCTTTGCATGGACCTGAAATACACCCCACAGCTTGAGGAATATCCTAATTATGATAAACAATTTAACATTGGTACAAGTGTCTGAGGTGTTCAGATATTTGTGTTGAAATACAGTTCATGGCTTACTTCGTCCCATTACTTCCACAGGTAACCACATTGTTTGTGTTCATACCTGCAACCCAGAGATAGCTGAAGGATATGTTGACAGTGCGGTACTACCTAGGTTTCGGCCCAGCAAAGGATTCAGTGGTGCGCTGCTGGGAATGTGTGTCGCACGCCAATATGTTTCAAGGTATTCTGCCAAATGCTCACATGCATCCTCCAACTGATTTTCATCCAGGATAACATCAAACATTTCCTATCAAGTAGAACAAAAAATAATAAAATCAGCACTTTTTTAGACACAAATAATCATTTTCTAAAAAAAATTACATTTTCAACTAAATTACATTTGAAAACCTTACAAAACAAGCTCTAAATTTAAAAGATCAGACAGTATATTATTATATTATTATTTTACATAGCAGACCTTCTTTGAAATTATTTATGGTAAGTGAATGCCTTCGTTTTGCACTGTAGAGATTCTATGGTTCTCTTTTCTCCAGTAAACAGTAGAAGTGTTTAAAATTTTGGATGTTGTTTTGCAGGGTATAAGTAGAGAAGACCCTTCCACCATTTTGGGGAGGGGGCTGGTGGGATGAGTTTGAAACTAGGAGCCATAAATATATGAATATTAAAAATTTATCTGTTTTATGTGAGATCCTTCAAGTCTGAAGTGGTCTAGACTGCATTGGAAGAGTTTTGCTGAGTAAACCATGAGAATTTTATTGCATTACTGCAACTATTTACAGATTTTATGATTATGATCTACTTTACTAGAGAGACTGTCAGGACAGGGTCTGAGGAAAGGTCATCGGAGCCGAAACATTAATTCTGGCAGCATCTGTGAAGAAAAAAATCAGACCTGCTGAGCTTTTCCAGCAACTTCTGTTTTTGTTCACAATCAAGTATAAACCTTTTCAGATGCATACAACATCTCTCCCAAAGTCCTTTTCCCCTCAAGTCTTGTATAGCTATACATTTATTTATATGTTTGCATTTATTAATACACCACCTCCCCAATCTTTGACTTCACAAATTCAGACAATCTGGAGGTTTCACAATTCTCCCTGAATGGATTCTCTTTCGTCGGGGAAGGATAATAATTTTTGGGGTATAAGGTAATTGACTTGGACTGTCTTCTGGGTGATCTGAGGTCTGTGGTTTCTCTCTGTTCCTACGTTCACTATTCAGTTCGTCTCAATAAATAATGTGAATGGTTTCGATTGTAATAGGATGAGTTTCCTGTTATTCCTTCATATTACCTCTTCACCTGTACGGACAATATACCATCTCCATTGTTTCACATCTCCATGGACAATTACACCCTGATCCACACCTGTTTCCCCTTTCCTAGGTCTGGCAAATTGTCCACATGATAGAAATCAAAAGAACTGCAGATGCTGTAAATCAGGAACAAAAACAAAGTTGCTGGAAAAGCTTAGCAGGTCTGGCAGTATCTGTGAAGAAAAAATCAGAATTAACATTCTGAGGAAGGGTCACTGGACCTGAAATGTTAACTCTGATTTTATCTTCACAGATGTTACCAGACCTGCTGAGCTTTTCCAGCAACTTTGTTTTTGTGCACATGATAGCAATCATTGTAATATGAGATAGAATTTCTCTTTTTCATGTACCATTTGGTCACCAAGATGGCAACGCAGACAAAGCAGGTAGCATTTGGGCTCCTGAGCCTATCCGTTCCAAGTCAGCCACATCCTTCTTTCTCTTTCCTTTTTGTCTTCTTTCTTTTTCTTCATCTTCTTCTTGTTGGCAGTGGAGGAGGTGTCACCGTGGAGGAGCCTGGAGCGGGACTCATGGTGAAGGCAGCGAGGCACTGGCTGCAGCTTTGGCTGTGTAGTGGGCCCAGGCTGGAATTCCTACCAATGTTGGCAATGTGGAGGCAGTGGAGCTCGGGGCTCCTCAAGCATTGGATGGACACGGAACGGGGACGCATTACAGCCTGGACTCTGGAACACCTTACAGAAACCCTGGAAACCTAAAGAACACCCAGAGCCATACTTGACAAAAACGGGCTGAACATTATTTCTTGTTTTCCTACCTTTATGTTTTTCTGTCAATTGAACAGAAGATGAAGCTCTATTTGAGTAACTTCTTTGTAATCCAAAATGGTGCCAGATTGTCGTGACAAAACACTTTTCACTGTATTTTCTCAAATACATGTGACAGTAAAATCATTCATTCCTTCAGGAAATCATGGAAACTATTTCCTAAGCAGTATAGGAAGCCCCATCTTCAGCCCTCTGCCCACTGGTAGCTCTGTCAGTAGGAAGAACCTATAATCCAACAGTGCTGTGCAGAAATCAGAATTCTTCTTCATGAGTGATTTAACCCTTTGATCCCTTGTTCAGCCTCCCTGCTAGATTGTGGATACTGCAGTGAGCTTGTCATGTGCTCATGTGCAGAACTGGCTGCAATGTGGTTGAAACACAGATCCACAAATAGTGTCCTGTTATGTGAAATGACCATGTCAAGGATGCTGCGCGGTGCATAAGTTTCATGCAAGACTCAGAACTGTTTCCGTGGTCGTCATATGTAACCTCTTAACCTCAATCCATCAAGAAAATAACTAATGATGATGCGTTAAGTCTTTCTGCAGAAAACAAACAAATCCATCCTCACACGTTCCCAAGGTCTGGTAGGGAATCTACTGAATTTTGAAGGATCACTTTATTCTGCCCCATGGATGGAACAGGTCTGATAATCAGTAATAAGTTCCTCAATCCCTGGGGATCCCAGGCCACCACAGTGTTACCAGAGTTCTGGTCCAGCACTTGGTGATTCTCCAAGTGTCCTTGGTGAAACTTGCCCTGGTTGAATTCATGAAGTAAAGTTGGGATGGCCAATCAGTCATCATACACTAGTGTGTCATCAACAACAATGGCAAAATGTTTGAACTTTTCAAAATATGTCTTCTTGGCCACAGTGCTGGGCCTGTTACAGGGTTGTGAATACATTATCACTCATTTGTTCTTGGTGAATTTGGCGAAACCAATTGCAACTTATTGGTCATTGTACCACCAAGGGCTAGATATTCTCCGAGTTGGCACTATTTTGAAATAGTGCTCGACAATGCTTCCCATTATGTTGTGGCAGGGTGCCAACATTGCCACCGTGTTGTGCTTAGGTTCCTTCAAACCTGAAGTAGTCTGTCAGTCAGATATCTGCTTTTCTGGTCTAAGTAGAAGTGCCTTGTGGAGTAGACAAGATGAATTTAATTGCATTGCTGCAACTATTTACAGATGATGATGTGATTATGACAGACATTACTACGCAGATTGTTAGAAGCACACCAGCCTCAGGTCTGTCTCCTACAAGTGCCTTTTTTACCCTGACCAAGTTGCTGTGTGATCATCACAGTAGGTGTTGCTCAGTCAAGTATTAACCATTTCAGGCCCAAATACAACAAAATCCAATAAGGAATCCAGGCAGTGATTATAATACGGAACATGTTACTAATGGAGTAACTGAGGATATCTGAAAATAATACAGCTGTGTTTGAGGAAAAGCTGAACAAGTAGGAGAGTAAAGAATTATAAGGGAATGGAAAGGCTTATGCTTGGAATAGATGCAAGGTTAAGATGCCCAGTTTCTTTTCCACATTTTCTATTAATTTTGTGAACTGCTTCTGATTTTTTTTTAAAGAGGTCTTTTAACATAAAAGAGAGATAGCAAAATACGACATTGAGATGTGACAAAAGCATTTGAGAAGTATTTAGATGTGACTTGTGATTCCAAGGCATATAAGGCTATGGGCCAAGTGCTAGAAAATGCGATTAGAATAATTTGGTGGTTGTTTTTGACCAATACGGACGTGATGAGCTGAAAGGGGTTTTTTCTGTGCTGTTGTTCTCTATGCCTCTGAGGCAAGCCAAAGAATGAGAGGATGGGATGTCTGGAACAGTGATTAAAAGCTTGGACAAAGAATAATTTTTTCCAGGAATATCTTAAAGTTCAAGAGGGAGGTAGGAAGGCCTTAATGAGGAGATTTCAGAGATTGAGTCCTTGTCAGCTAAAGGCATGACAAATGATTGGTGGATCTATGCATGAGACTAGAGTCATATGAACAGAATTGCAGGGAGGCAATGGGTAGTTGGTGAGATTACAGAAATATGAAAACAAAAGAGGCTTTGATGGGATATAAAGTGCAAAAAATTTTAACTTTAGGCTTTGGGGAAGCAAAAGCCAATATAAAAAATTTGGTGAAAACAGGGTAAGTCAGATGGTGGTTGGGGGAGCAATATGCTACAGAAATACATGTGAGTAGCACAGTATTTTCTGATAAACTGGTATTTAACAAAAGGATGTTGGTCAGTTGGCCAACAAGGAGAAAACTGGAGTCATTGAGACTGGAGCTGAAAGAAATATGTAAAAGGATTTTGGCAGCAGATGAGGGGGGAATTTATTACTTCTTTGGGCTGAGTTTGCTTTTCTTCATTTGAATAAATACAAAATGGCTACATGTTCACTATGAGCTATTTGGATGCACTTCACGAGTGGTTGCATAGAATCTTAGGATTTTTACTCCTGCCCCACATATAGCATTCACTCATCAACCATAACTGATGAATGAATTATTCTAGGATCTTCCTCAATGACAAAATGCCAATTCTTTGTCCACCAGGATTGAAATAATCTGATCAGCTGCTTTCTCTCTCTTTTCCTTGCTGATGCCAAGTGAACCAAAATCTTCTGAGGTTTTTCCCTCTGCCCTAGCTCTGAACTCTATTTCTTGTCTGATTTTCTTCAAATCCACCTTGTCCATTCCTGTTCCCTTGACCCAGTTCCACTATACAGCTGACCACCCAATTTCTGTTCCAGCTCCCATATTAGCAGGCATTGTTAATTCTCTCCTCAGATCTTGTTCACCCTCTCCTGTAAATCTGGCATTGCCAGTCTGTTGGTCCTACAACCAACCCTGTGTTCTGAGGAAGGGTCACCAGACCTGAAACATTAACCTCTGATTTTTTTTCTTCACAGATGCTGCCAGACCTGCTAAGCTTTTCCAGCAACTTCTGTCTTTGTTCCGGATTTACAGAATCCAAATTCTTTCAGCCTTGACGCTTTTTAGGTTTGCAAAGCACCACCTAATCACCGAACTCCCTTTCCTCTTCAAACTGATTCAAAATGTTGTTGCTTCCCAAACCTGCGATCATCTTTCCTGAAACTCCAAGTTTGGATTGTTCCAATCAGTTTTCTTTTCTAAAAGAATTTGCACATTGAATATGGCATGTCACTGGCTAAGCTAATGTTTATTGCCAATCCCTAAATGCCCTGGAGAAGGGGATGGTGAGCTGCCTTCTTAAACTGTTGCAATTCTCTGTGTGTAGAACACTCACAGTGTTGCTAAGAAAGGAGTTCCACAATTTTGACCCAGCAATGAAGAAGGAACGAGCAAGACTTGCCCAAAACTCTAATACCTACATTATATCTTAACACCAAGCTCCATTCACCTATTATCTCTGTGGTCACTTACCTACACTGGCCGCCAGTTAAGCAACATCTCAATTTAAAATTGTCCTGTTCGTTTTAAATACTTGCATAGACTCACCACCTCCCTAACTCTGTAATCTCTTCAAACCCTACAGAACTCCAACATGTCAGAGCTCCTTAAATTCTGGCCTCTTAAACATCCCCGATTTTAAGTGACAGCAAGCCTTATCTGCCAAATCTCTAGAATTCCTTCCCTAAGTCCTTCAATCTCCGATTCTTTCTTTATGATACTCTATAACACCTCCTTTTTTGGATAAGCTGTTTGTTATCCATATTCATTTTGCCTTATGTTGCTTGGAATAGAATCCTGAGAATTGTGAATAGGAGACTAGATTTCATTAAAGATGAGATATGTATTGAAGTTGGTGTCATTATTTGCAACCAGTTCAGAAACTTTGAACAATAGATGCCAACTTAAATTTTCTTTCAAGGAAAAATAATTTGAACTCAGTCAAAAGCTGGCACCTATTTATCTGAAGGAAGCTCAAACTTGGTCTTGAAAGGGAAGCATTGTTTAACGTAATAGAGACAAAATTACCGAAGCCTACGCTTAAAAATAACATATGCTGACAGCAAGAGGCAAACACAAGCAGCACACAGCTACTTTGTGCATTGTGACAATGTTTTTAACTTGTTAAACCAGAATGAGGACAATTGCTGAATTATTACATACTGGAGGGCATTGTGCCAGTTTATCGGCTGCTACCAACTGGACATTGAGGTTTTTACTCTGCGACTTTCCCCTGGATTTAATCAACCTCTGCAGCACCTAGGGAGAACAAAACAAAATTTTCAATCAAAGTATTAACTATTTAAAGCATTGAAACTCTGGCTATTGGAATTTGGAGAGTTAATAAATCTTAGGCAGAAATGTTGTTCAGTAGTGACCTTCTCTCATATTGACATGAAGATGCAGATCACTTCATTTGTATTTTCATTCCACACCATTCCTTGGCCCAAAGCCTGGTCAATGCATTGAAGAAAATCCTGTTACAGCAGTGAGTATCTGAATAGTGGGACAGGAATTGAGTGGGACTTCCGCTCAGAGGCTGAAAGGGACATATTGTTTAACATGCTGGAGCCAAAATTACCAAAACCTACGCTTACAAATAACACACATTGAATGCAAGAGGCAAGCACAGGTAACAAACAACTACTTTGTGCACTGTGACAATGTTTTTAACTTGGCTACAGGCTATCACTTGGAAGCCAGTCAATTAGTTATGCTCAGTTGAAGGGCCCGGCTAACTATGTCAATAGGACAGGCTGAAGCCACTGAAACCACCATCATGTCATGGCATTCGGAGGTCCAGGTACCAGGACATGCAAATGTCTATTGATGAAGTTATTTTTGCTACCTCGAATAGTGGGCTCCAGTTTTTTGGAAACTCATTAGAGACCTGAGTCAGATTTTGGGTTTCTTTCCCTGCTGGATGGGTGCAAATAGTAACATGTATTTGTATATAATTTTTCGACATGATAAATTACTATTATGACAAAAGGCTGCAGCACTGACAGATCAGTCTGTAAAGAGACGTGTATATTGACAACTAGGTGACACCACACAACTGCACCTTAAATGCTAGATGCATCCTTTGCAGTAGTAACAAAGAGTTATCAGCATTTATTCTGATGTCCATTTATACGTTAAAAAACAAAGAAAATCAGGGATAGAGAAATGTTATTCATCCTACCATTCGAGTACCCAGGCTCTCAAATAAGGACATCATAAGGTTGAGTCTATATTGCCCTCTGAAGAGGCATAGCAAGACATTCATTTGAATTAAACCATTATGAGTAGTTCAGAACCTAGACACATCACCTCCTAGAGAAGAACAACATTTGACACCCAGACGCTGATAATTGGACATCTTAAAGTGTTTTGGACATTTCCAATACCATTGCCCTTACTAATTTGTTGGATACATTTTTTTTGAAGAGTCGCCCTCAAGTAAGGGAACTGCTTTTTTTTTAATATACCAGTATACCAAATATACAAGGAGGAACTGCTGGACAAAGCTGGTATCAAATTTGAAGAAACCATGTACGATCCTGCAAAGATTAAGGGTAGCCCTGAAGATCGGTTTAATGTTACAAATCAGGAAATGGTGACTAAAACAAAAGGGAGTAATTCACTGAGAGAAAACTCATCAAACACAACAACAGCAAAAGCTTCTACAAGTTTATTAAAGAGAATGGACTAACAAAGTGAATAGTGGTCCCAATGAAACTGGGGAATTAATAATGGGAAATACGGTGATAACAGAGACTTTAAACAAGTAGTTTGTATCTGTCTCCATAGTGGAAGACACAAAAAAGCATCCCAACAATATAGAAAAACAGGGAAGCAATCAAACAATCATGATCTCTACAGAGAAAAAGGCAAGAAAAATGGATGGGACTAAATACTGACTGTTTTCTAGGAAGTAGCTATAGGGATAGTGCATGCATTGGTTGTAATCTTGCAAAGTTCCCTAAATTCTGGAAAGATTCCAGCAGATTGGAAGATGACAAATGTGACACCTATGTTCATGAAAGGAGTGGACAGAAAGCAGGAACTAAAGACCAATTAGTCCAACACCTGTCAATGGGAAAATGCTAGAATCCATTATTAAGAAGGTGGTAGCAGAGCATTTCAAGAATTGTGATACAATAAGGCAGAGTCACCATGGTTTTGTGAAAGGGAAACCATTCTGACAGATTCTTTGAGAATGTAACAGTAGGTGTACTGAGTTCAGGTTCCCCAACACCATTCGAAAAATCAACATATAAAAGGTTACTGAGAACTCAGTATTGGTGGTAATACATTAGAATGGATAGAGGATTGACTGACTAATAGGAAACAAGAGTCAGGATAAATGGGTCATTTTCAACTTGAAAAACCGTTACTGAGTGAAGTACCACAGGGATAAAGGCTACAGTCTCAACTGTTTACAATCTGCATTTAAAACTTTGATGAAGGGACTGACAAATTGTCTGATGATACAAATATAGGTGGGCAAACAAGTTAGCAGGAGGATATAAAGAATACAGATAATTTAAGCAAGTGAGCAAAAAAGTTATGGGCATAATATGGGAAAATGTGAGGTTTTCTACTTTAACAGGTAGAAATGCAGAAAGACTGCAAAATACTGCAGTAGAGAAGGATTAGGGTATCCTTGTAAATGAATCACCAAAAATTGGCACACAATGGTGACCCCCAGGATGTTAGTAGTGGAGGATGCAATGATGGTAATGCCATTGAACATCAAGCGGAATTGGTTAGATTTTGTATTGTTGGAGATGGTCATTACCTTGCACTTCTGTAGCCACATGTTAATTGCCATTTACCAGCGCAAGCCTGGGTGTTGTCCAGGTCCAGCTGCATATAGAGATGGGCTGCTTCAGCATCTGAACAGTTGCAAAGAGTGATGAGCATTTTGCAATCAGTGAGCATCCTACTTCTGACCTTACAATGGGAAAAAGCTCATTGATGTAACTGGTTTGGTTTAGGTCACCACCCTGAAAAAGTCCTGCAGTGATATCCTCAAACTGATTAGATGATTAAACCCCTAGAACAACAACTATCTACTTTTGTGCTCAATACAACTCGAACCACTGGATAGTTTTTAATGTGATTTCCATTGAACCCAAAACTTACTAGATTTGGAGCTGCAAAAGGAGAATTTAAAAAAAGATTGCTGTTATACCTGAGGGAGACAAAATATATAAGACAGATCTAAATATTTTAAACTCACACTTGCTATACAAATGTATGAACAATTCATTTTACCTTTGGAGAAGAAACTTTGACATGAACAATGATTGGTGCTAGAGAAGTCTTAATGAGCTGCGCAGGATGATTAATGGTGTCTGCATCTAAAACGACCAACTGTAAAGTTCTGGCCAATTCGAAGATTCTTTCAATTTCACTCTGTACTTCAGCTGTTGAAAGAAAAATAAGAAAACAAACAAATATAGTTTATTAGAACTTACCAAGGAGTAATCATTATTTAGCGTAGCTTTCCTGGCTCATGCAAGGGTACAAAACAGAAAATAGCAGCATCACATCGTCTACAGCATTTAGCAATGTTTACCTTTTCTCAAATTTCTCATGCACCTAAGCTTTATCTGTTAACTCCATTACCTGCTGCATTATAATTGTGGGTTACGTACCTGACTCTTCTTTCCCTGTTGATATTCATTAAGGCCCCACAATGTTATCATTCCCTTCATTTTGTTTTGCCTTAAGCAGTTTTGTTATTTTCACTTTTCAATTCTGACACCTAAAAGATTAATTGAACTTCTCTCTCTACAGATCTTAATCATTCATCAATTTATGCTTTTCTTTCAAAAGATTAAGAATACTGTCTACTCTTGACTGTCCATATCTCTCAGACATCACCTTAGTCAGATTGTGGTGAAAAGCACCAGAATAAACAAGGCTCTGATGCAGATCCACCTGGAGTACTGTGTTAAACTTTGACCCAGTGACGGAAGGGAAGACGTAAAACTGAAAGAACTGCGGATGCTGGAAAGCTGAAACAAAAACAGAAAATGCTAGAAAGTGTCAGCGGGTCTGGCAGCATCTGTGGACAGAAATCAGAGTTAACGTTTTGGGTCGAGTCATCATTCTTCATAACTCTCTGACAGCTTAGGCATTGCCAAACATTTGCTTTGGTTGGGAATCTAAAACACAGAGCCACAGTTTCCGGACAAAGAATCCGTCGTTTAGGACTCAGCTGAAGAGAAATTTCTCCACTCAGAGTCACAGAGTCATAGAGCAGGGAAACAGACCCTTCAGTCCAATCATTCCACATCGTCCATGTATCCAAACTAAACTGGTCCCACCTGCCTGCCCTCGGTCCATATCCCTTCAAACCTTGAACAAAAACAAAGTTGCTGGAAAAGCTCAGCAGGTCTGGCAGCATCTGTGAAGGAAAAAACAGAGTTAACATTTCGGGTCCGGTGATCCTTCCTCAGAACCCAAGGTTCCCTTCAAACCTTTCCTATTCAGGAACTTATCAAAATGTCTTTAAAACGTTGTAACTGTACCTGCATCCACCACCTTCTCTAGCAGTTCATTCCATACACAAACTGTGTAAAAACACTGAGCCTCATGTCTTTTTTAAATCTTTCTCCTCTCACCTTAAAAATATGGCCCCCAATTTTGAACTCTCCTACCCTAGGGAAAGGACCCTTATCATTCACCTTGTCTATGCCCTTCATGATTTTATAACTCTCAATAAGGTCATCCCTCAACCTCCAGTGAAAAAAGTCCCAGTCTTTCCAGGATAACAAGGTGTAGAGCTGGATGAACACAGCAGGCCAAGCAGCATCAGAAGAGCAGGAAAGGTGACGTTTCGGTCCTAGACCCTTCTTCAGAAATGGGGGACGAGAAGGGGATTCTGAAATAAACAGGGAGAGAGGGGGAGGCGGATAGAAGATGGATAGAAGAGAAGATAGGTGGAGAGGAGACAGACAATTCAGAGATGCGGGGGTGGAGCCAGTAAAAGTGAGTGCAGGTGGGTAGTTAGGGAGGGGATAGGTCAGTCCAGGGAGGATGGACAGGTCAAGGGGGCGGGATGAGGCTAGTAGGTAGGAGAAGGGGATGGGACTTGAGGTGGGAGGAGGGGATAGGTGGGAGGAAGGACAGATTACGGAGGCGGGGACAAGTTGGGCTGGGTTTGGGATGCGGTTGGTGGAGGGGAGATTTTGAAGCTTGTGAAGTCCACATTGATACCATTGGGCTGCAGGGTTCCCAAGCGAAATATGAGGTGTGCTGTTCCTGCAACCTTTGGGTGGCATCGTTGTGGCACTGCAGGAGGTCCAGGATGGACATGTCGTCTAAGGAATGGGAGGGGGAGTTGAAATGGTTCGCGACTGGGAGGTGCAGTTGTTTGTTGCAAACCGAGCGTAGGTGTTCTGCAAAGCGGTCCCCAAGCCTCCACTTGGTTTCCCCGATGTAGAGGAGACCATATCTGGAACAGCGGATACAGTATACCACATTAGCAGATGTGCAGGTGAACATCTGCTTGATGTGGAAGGTCTTCTTGGGGCCTGGGATGGGGGTGAGGGGGGAAGTGTAGGGGCAGGTGTAGCACTTCCTGCGGTTGCAGAGAAAAGTGCCGGGTGTGGTGGGGCTGGAGGGGAATGTGGAGCGGACAAGGGAGTCACGGAGAGAGTGGTCCCTCTGGAAAGCAGATAAGGGTGGGGAAGGAAAAATGTCTTTGGTGGTGGGATCGGACTGCAGATGGCGGAAGTGTCTGAGGATGATGCGTTGGATCCGGAGGTTGGTGGGGTGGTACATGAGGACAAGGGGGATTCTGTTTTGGTTGTTATTGTGGGGTGGGGGTGTGAGGGATGAGTTACAGGAAATGTGGGAGACATGGTCGAGGGCGTTCTCAACCACTGAGGGGTGAGGTTGCGGTCCTCGAAAAACAAGGACATCTGAGATGTTCGGGAGTGGAATGCCTCATCCTGGGAGCAGATGTGGAGGAGGCGAAGGAATTGGGAATAGGGGATGGCATTTTTGCAGGAAGGTGGGTGGGAGGAGGTGTCATTTTTACATCTCAAACCTTCCTTCCTGGCAACATCCTGGTAAGTCTTTCTGAACCCTCTCCTGTTTAATAATATCCTTCCAATAACAGGGTGACCAGACTGCACACAGTACTCCAGAAGAGGCCTCACCAACATCCTGTAGAACCTCAAAATGATGTCCCAACTTGTATACTCTGTGAATGCTCAGTCGCTAAGTATTCCTAAGTAGTCCAAAGATGTGCATGCAGGTGGATTGGCCATGTTAAAATGCCCATTGTTCAAGGATGCGTAGATTAGGTGGGGTGGGTCTGGTTGGGATGCTTTGAGGTTCGGTGTGGGCTTGGTGGGCTGACGGGCCTGTTTCCACACTGTAGGGTTTCTATGATCTTCCCACGAAAATTCTCAAGGCAGAGGTCAATAGATTTTTGTATACAAAGGGAACTAAGAGACATGGGGATACTGTGGGAAGGTGGTGTAGAGACAGAAAACCAACTATAATCATCTTGACTTGTCCAGCAGGCTGGAATGACCAAATGGTCTAATTCTCCTCTGATGTGTGTTGCCTCCATTATTTTCCACCATTATTCTGGAGTGTTTGTTTTCACTCCACATACTCCAGCACTAAGAAGATTGTTAAAAGAGGAACGCTAAAAGCACAGCTTAGGAAACACAAGTAGTGGCTGGCCAGTCAAAGTATACCTTTTAATATGAAGTTTACATTAACTGTGTGTTGCAATCTAGTACTGCAGTGACTGATAGATCTATCACAGATTGCTTTGCTCATTCATGTAATTTGTATTTATAAATTGCTCTACAGGATTAAAGTACTTGCTATTTTTAACCAGGTTCAACATTAACTTATTGTTCTCTGAAAAGCTGAAACTGTAATGCAAATAGACTGCATTTCAACAAAAAATCAAATGGAGATTGCAGCAATGGGTTTCACAGCCGATAATATAAATTCACACCATAAAAATTGCTCCAAATTGGTTAATATTAAGGGATTTGGTCTAATCCTTGAAGTTATTGTAGTTTTTTAGACAATTAATCACTCTTACTTGAGTAAACTCTCCTTACACCCAAGTTAGGCATATAAACATAGCTACTTTTAGTAATTATTTAGTACAATAGTGCACTCACTCACCAACATTAGAACATACAAAATTGTAGTGCAGTTAAAGAATTGTTAGTCCACCAAGCCCGACCTTTGCAATGTATCCCTCTCTGTCAGCTCCCTATCCACAGCCTCATACTGTACTAACCAAAAATTAACACATTAAAGTCATAGAGTCATACAGCGAAGAAACAGACCTTTCAGTCCAAATCGTCCCCGCAAACCAGACATCCCAATCTGACTTAGTTCCATTTGCCAACATTTGGCCCATATCTCTCTAAACCTTTCCTATTCATGTACCCAACCAGACGCCTTTTAAATGTTGTAATTGTACCTGCCTCCACCACTTCCTCTGGCAGCTTGTTCCATACATGCACCACTATCTATGTGAAAAGGTTACCCTTCAGGTCCCTTTTAAATATTTCCCCTCTTATCTTAAACCTATGTCCTCTAGTTTTGGAACCCCCCCACCTGAGCAAAAAAGACCTTGGCTATTCAAACTATCCATGCCCCTCATGATTTGATAAGCCTCTATAAGGTCACCCCTCAGCCTCCAACGCTCCAGGGAAAAAAGTTCCAGCCTATTCAGCCTCTCCCTATAGCTCAATAGCTCCAGACCCCGCAACAATTGTTGTGGTGCACTACGTAGCACACTTTAACAAAGTGATAAGATATTATGGCCCAGAACTTCTGATAGAAAAATAGTCGCTGCTGAAGTGTAAGCTGGAGTTCCAGGCTGAGAATATGCAGAAGTCCGGATATACTGACTGCAGTGAATTGCCAGGAAGGTTGAAACCTCCACAGGCATTTCAAACCCACTGGAGAAGTCACCAAAAGAGTTAGAGTGGGGCACTTTGAAGTATTGACTTACAGTACTTGCCTGAAAAGTTAGTCAAGAAAGGTTAGAAAGGTCAAGAAAATGTGCTCTAATTCCTAACTATAAAACTGACCCACAGAGTTACTATCTCCTTGATGGGTACAATCTCCCCCCCGGAAACCATACTTAAACCTCCTGATTGAAAACCCCTCTCCTCACCACAACTCAACTCCTGAACTCTCAAGGACTGAGCTTCCCCCTGACTCCCGCGCTGACTCTTCTCCCAATCACACATTGAATCAGAAGTGAGGATGCCGCAGGGTGGGGTAGGTAGTCAATGAGACACATTTGCTGAGATACAGCAAGAAATATTGCTGAGCTTTATGGCGAGAATTACTCCAGAAAACCTCAATACAAAATCGCATATAGCAGAGGAAAGAAAAACTTAAAACTCAGCTCAGAGCGTTAGAGATG